TTCTTCTAGTAGTGATAGTAATATATTTCAATTAGTGATTCAATAAAGACTTATTTAACAATTTTTTAAAGGCTTACTGTTTGTCAGGTTTAGTAATATGTGCTGAGAATCATGCAATTACATTCTAAGGAGGAAAAAAAAGAGTGTCTGAGTACAATGCTCTTAAGTGGAAAGTATTGAAGCTTTTGAATATTCCCATTTTATTGTTTCTATTTTCTCAGTCAAACAGGAAGCCAATGAACAGGTGGAAGTGTAGATGTGAATATATTTATTGTAAGTTTGAGGTTTAGTGCACAAAGAGATTGATACCTAAATAAAGGGAAAATATATACCATTGAAAAATCAAAAGAATACTTGTACATTATATTTAGATAAAACAAAGTAGGCTTTCAGAAGAGAATTACTAGAGTTTTTGGCTAGGCCAAAATGCCCAAATATTTGTTCTACAACTTTTCTAGATGTCACTGAGATGACATTCTTAAGAGATATTAACATTTAAATGAATAGTTTGAGTAAAGCAGATTACTCTTTATGGTGTGGGTGAACCCCACTTATCAGTTGAACCCCACTTATCAGAGAAAATTTGCCTCTAGATGGTCTTCAAACCTGAACTGCAAAATCAGTTTTCTGGGTTTCCAGCCTAGCTGCTTGCCTGAAGAGGTTGGAATTGTCATTCTCTACAAACGCATAAACTAATTCCTGAAAATAAATTGATACATAGATAGAACAGAAACACATCTTTATAGAGAATATTGATGAGGATATTATGATCTTAAGTTTGCACACATGAAAATAACATATATGCATTGTTTGTAGCTTTTATATGCTTTTATGAGCATTTGTTATATTTTGCAATTTTTTATAAAATTTGAACCCCATGTTTGTAAAGAAACACTATAAAAGGCTGATTGATTAGTTTTATTGATGGAGACAAGATATAGCATTGTGAGAAAGAACCCCTGAAGGAGCCAACTGATCACCAGTGACTGCTTAAGTCCCCAGAGATAACACATCACAATAGGGACATGTTGACTGCAACATTAAATGAACATTTCTAGGAAAACTTTCCCAGCATAGCGGAGGATGTGGCCAGTTCGTGCCTTTCCTAGAACAAAAGAAAAATCCATAAAAACTGTAAAGATGGGACATTAACAAGGAGAGAGGCCTATGAAACACTTTAACTATCTCCCAGGGCTGGGAATATAACTCAGTTGGTGGAGTGCTTGCCTTGAATGCATAAGGCCCTGGGTTCAATCCCCAGCATCAAAAAGTAAGGAAATAAATAAATATTTCCCAAGGATTTTATACAATTTCTGTACATTCCTGTACAGTTTCTGAGTATACAGTTTTTATTTTGTACATAAGTTGAAGCACTTTCCTGTCAGAAAGCAATAGCACTTGCAATGGACAAAAATCAATTTGATTTTGTGTTCCCTGCCTGTGACACTTCAATTCATATGAAGAATAATTTTCTGGGACAGTTATGCAAGGCTTTGCCCTCACTCAGGAACTCCATTTTTTTAATATCACCTCACTATCCTCTGAAAATTTGGAAACAACAAATAGATTATTAAAACTGAAATTATTATTACTATATCAGGCATCTTCTTAGTGTATTTTAATTATATAGATTAATGTCTTTCATTGTGGCATATTCTTTTTTTTATTTTATTTTTACCTGTTCTATCAGTTATACATGACAGCAGAATGCTTCTCAATTCATTGTAATAAATGGAGCACAGTTTTTCACTTCTCTGGTTGTACACAAAGTAGGGTCACACCATTCATGCAATCATACATATACCTAGGGTAGTGATGTTTGTCTCATTTCACCATCCTTCATAACTCCATGCTCCCTCCCCACCTCCTCCCCTTTGCCCAATCTAAATTTCCTCTACTCATCCAAGGTCCCCCCACTTTATGGATCAGCATCCACATACCAGAGAAAACATTTGGCCTTTGGTTTGGAGGGATTAGCATACTTTGCTTAGCATAATACTGTCCAACTTCACCCATTTACCTGCAAATGTCATAATTTTATTCTCTTTTAATGATGAGTAATATTCCATTGTGTATATATACCACAGTTGTTTTATCCATTCATCTATAGAGGGGCATTCAGGTTGATTCCACAGTTTGGCTATTTTTAATTATGCTGCTATAAACATTGATGTGGCTGTGTCACTTTATTATGCTATTTTTAAGTCCTTTGAGTATAGACTGAGGAGTGAGATAGCTGGGTCAAATTGTGGTTCCATTTAAAGTTTTTTAAGGAATCTCCATACTACTTTCCATGTTGGTTGCACCAGTTTACAGTCCCACCAGCAATGTTTGAGTGTACCTTTTCCTCCACATACTCACCAGCACTTATTGTTGCTTGAATTATAACTGCCACTCTGACTAAATCATTGTGGCATATTCTTATAAGCAAAAACCATGTGAATCATATCTACCTTCTATTAGACTTTCTTACCCTCTTCTCCCCAGATTCTCTTTCTCTTCTCTAATTCCTCTCTTTTTTGTCTGTATCCCACATATGAGGGAAATTATGCAATACTTTCCTTTCTGAGCCTGGTGTATTCCATTTAACATTATGATCTCTAGTTTCATCCATTTTCCTGCAAATAATATGATTTCATTCTTCCCATATATCAATTGACAGGAACCTACGCTGATTACATAACTTGGCTACTATGAATTGTGGTGCAATAAAGATGGATATGCAGGTATCTGAATGGTATGCTAATGGATATACTCAGGAGTGGTATAGCTGGATCTTATGGTAATTCTAGTTTCTTGAGGACCCTCCATAGTAATCTCCATAGCAGCTTTCCTACCAACAGCACAACAGTGAGTCCCTTTTCTTCACATCCTCACCAACATTTACTGTGTTTGTAATTTGGTATGTGGTGGGGCAGGAGTACCAGGGACTCAACTCAGGGATGCGTAACCACATTCCCACCCCTTTCTTTAAAATTATTTTTTATATTTTTTTATTTTGAAATAGGGTCTCACTAAGTTGCTTAGAGCCTCTCTAATTTGCTAAGACTGGTTTTGAACTAGCAACCCTCCTACCTCTGCCTCCTGAGCCACTAGGATTTGTTTTTATAATCTTGATGATTGCCATCCTGACTAGGGTGAGATGGAATGTCAATGTAGTTTTGAATTCCATTTCCCTGAGAGTTAAAGGTGTTTATATTTTTTCATATATAATTATTGGCTATTATTACCTCTTCTTTTAAAAAGTGTCTGTCTATTCATTTGCCCATTTATTGCTATATGAGATACCCCTGAAGCCCTGTGGTCTATGAACCGTGGTTACCCTTGGCTCTCCTGGGCCTGCAGTCTTCCCCCACACAAAGTCATATGTGTCTTGCTGTGAACTGACCATTTCTAGTCACATGTGACTCCCAAACCATACATACTCCACACTTTCTTAAACTTAATTAACATGATAAACCCTTTCATCAACATGCCAACAGTTTGCCTTTTCTGGCCTCTCATTTAATCAGCCATCATGTGACCTAAACCCTGAAGGTTTGGTAATCCAAAAACAATGCCAGAGAAATTCTGCCTCTGAATCTTATGGAAATGAACTCATTAGGAAATCTTTACTACCAGATCAGTGGATAAAGCACAAGGATTTGAATCTCAGTTGAATTTAGCAACTAGCATGACATTCTCCATACTTAAATGACAAGAATTAAAATATAACTCACTTTAAAGATTTTAAGTAAACTTATTCAGAGGGTCTCCATAAGCAGACAGTACACAGAAGATAAACACTGACCCAGGATCCTTGAAACACACATGCCTTGGCACAATAGCACATCAAAGACTATCAGAACAGAAATCTCTGTAAAAGCTATCAGTAAATACACCATTAATCCAAATTCTTTCTGTAATCTACTAGTAAGAGTTTAATAAGGTAGTTAATAGATATACGTAAAAATTTTCTCATACACACCAGAAAGAATTATAAGGAAGCAATAAAAATAAATGTCTAGGAATAAATTTAATCATCTCAAAACAATAGAACTTTATCAAGAAAGACATAAATAAGTAGAAAGAAATAATATGTTTCTTTAAGTTAATTTTGTTGTGTATATTCAAGATTTACAACAGGATATTATAGGATACACATAGGTAATGAAGTGGTTATATAGTGAAACAAATTTACAGATCTATCATCTTATATAATTTTTTGTACAGCTAAAAATCTATTTAGCACAGTATACTCTTATTAACTATAGTCCTTAGATTTTATATTACATCTCCAAACGTGATGATTCTATCTATCTACTGTATTGTAACCTTTGACTAAATATCAGCAACACTTATCAGAGTATAGAATAAGGAATTTCATATATTATATTTTACATATTTTCTATGTTTAGCATGTAGTGTTTTCTAATCAGAAAAATAACAAATATAATTTTCTAAAGAGTCAGTAGCCCATATCTGAAAAGGATTGTGATACTAAAGGGATATTTATAGAAGACGAGTCAAAATAGCAAATGTTAATTCATCTTTAAAACCTGGCTTGCAAAGCAAAGCATCATTATTTCCCTGGAAGAATCCATTATGTGCAGCTTTAGGATTGCTGAAGATGTGAGGGTTCCTGGGTATGAGGAGCCCAGAGTGGGCATGAAGTTCTGTGCCAGAGCTTGCCCTCTTCATCTCACATCACTTCACCTACATTCACTTTCACAATGCATATGTATATCAAAACATCACATTGTGTACTTTAAATATGTACAATAAAATAGAAAAAATAGGAATCCATCAAGTAACAATCAGCTAACAAAATGTTCTGACCTTCTCTGGGTCATCTTGAACCTACTGTATGTATTATATACTTTGAATGCCTATAGGCTAGTTTCCACTTGCAAAAAAACAATGTGGAAAAAGCAACACTAGAAGGTCTTTGCCAAAAAGGAAGCAGGTGAGGCTCAGCCCAGTCACAAGTTTGAGTACAGGCTGCAGGTGTCTGGGAAGCATCATGCATCAGCTGTACAGAAGTAGACAGCTGAGTCTCCAGGTTGGGTGGCTGTGATGTTCAGGGAGAAGTGTTTGGCTTTCTTATCCAACACAACAATGAATCTTTGGATGTGATTTATCTCCTTATTTGAACGAATGTCTATAATATGCTGGGGACCTTTTCCAACTTCTTGCTTATACCAAGGGAAGTAGGCTGAAGCACCGTCTGAATAACTACAGTTGATAACAGCGCTGTCTCCCTCCTGGACACTCAGAGTAGAAGGATGCTGCTCCACCTTCTCTCCTTGGCTGACCACTGGGAAAGAAAAAGAAAAACAAGAAGGTTGTCAGGTTATTACTCTCTAGAATTTTCTTTTTCTACAGGATATGGAGGAGCTCTGAATAAAGCCAGTCTTCTCCCTGGACATCAAAAGAACATCCAGTAGAATCTCTATTATCCCCTAGTCCTAAACTCACAGCTCAGATGCAGCCACAAGAATACAAATAAAGCATAAATCAATGTCTTCATTGTTCTTCCCTTTGGACCATAGACTTGATATATCTAGCCAGGAGAGCTATTTCTGTTATCAGGTTGTTACTTTCTGTCTCTAACAATTATAGCAGCTTCTCATATTGACTACTCAACCAATAAGAAAAAGGTTCAGCTTCTACTATAAACCTCTTTCTTCAGAGTTCATTTCAATGAACCCACCACTTTTTCTGCACCAGCTGGGGTAGACTGCCACCTTGTGGTCACATCCCTAACTACTGAACTCTCAGGTTAAGTGGTCTTCTCTTTCCCCATGGGTGATTCAGACACATAAATGCAGCAATATATATAATAAAGAAAGTCTCAGATAAAAAATTGAATGCAAAATAAGTATATAGATATCAATATTGATATTTGTGCACACTACTGGGTCATTTTTAATAAACTGGAAAAATGTAGATGCTATTGGTGTTTATACAATGATGGGCTCAGTTTACATGTTTGAAATCAAGGAAGCACCATGATTCATGTTCACAAGGAAAAATATAATACTTTCCTTTTCAACCAAATCTGCCTTTGAGATTTTTCTGTTACAAAGACAACCTTTTTCTTAAAGCAATGTGTAATCCAAGGATTAGAGAAAGAAGACTACTGGATATTTCATTGCATATTGATGCAATTAATATTAAAATGCATATTTTCTCCAAGTGACTAGTCCAAGCCTGATCTTGCCCATGACTTGCAACTCAAAAAAATGGACAGTACCAACAAGCAAACCATGGTGTCTTCCCTCAGCAAAGATGATAAAAAAACTAATGATCAAGTTCAAAAGTAAGGAAGCAGGGAGATAAGTTCTATAGCTATTAATATTCCACCCTTTAGGAATGTTCAACCCATAGATGGGGTTGATTTACAATGAGAAATATGAAATGATTGAAGAAATCTTTATATTGCCATGTGAGTTGTGTTCTGCAAAGTCCTGAAAGAAAGAGTAGAGATTCTCAAAAAACATCAGGCTACAGATTCAAAATATATGACGACATGTAAGTTTATTCTTGATATGCTTTCATTTTCTGCTCCCAAAACATACTATATGTCCTTAAATTCAATGACTGACATATCTTCACTGGAATTTCCTCTAAATCATGAGCCAATCTTCCTGGCATGGATTTCTGCTGCCTTGACCAATGATTTTTCTCCCACTTTCCACTACAAAGTTCTTTCCCCCAAACATTATAAGAATCCTTCAGTTGTATAAATTTTTAGGGTTATCTCCCTCTGCCAAAGACCTTTTCTCATATGCTTTAATTTGATATTTTCTGATTGTTTCTATCCAGGGAAGCCTAACTACTGCTTGTGTCTGCTATAGGATAGTACAAATGGGAAACAGACCTCAAGAACTAACCATAATCAATAGTTTCTGCCCAAAGAAGATGACCTCATTTCAGAAGTCAAGGCCTCTTTCCTGTACGTGTACTCACTAGTACTCAAGATCTATAGAAAATAAATCTAATCACTTGGTCACCTCTCACAAGCTTAAAGATTAAGTACAGCTGTGATGAAAACCCTCAACTCAAAATATATATGTGTATATACAAAATATGTTATGTATACATCATATATACTATGTGTTCATACATAAAATATTATATATAATATATGTTGTGTTTATATACTATATATATGTGTGTGTATATATATGTGTGTGTGTGTGTGTGTGTTTCTATTCTAAGATTCTTCTATTTTATCACTCATTCAACATATGATAGAATTATTAAATCCTTCCTTGGGTGAATTTCCCCTTTCTCAGATTTACATTTTTTTTTTTTTTACTTTGAGATAGGGTTTCACTAAATTACCTAGAGTTTCAATAAATAATTTACAGTCTTGCTGGATACTTTTTTTTTTTACTTTTAGACAGTCTTGCTAAATTACCTAGAGTCTCACTAAATTATTTACAGTCTTGCTAAATTGTTGAGACTGGCATTGAACTTGTGATCCTCCTGCCCCCACCTCCTAAAGGCATGTGCAACCCTCCCCAGCTAGATGCAGACACTTTAGGTCAATGCTTACCCTTTTCAGTTATGGCACAAAGAAAAGGATTTTTCTAGCATCTTCACAGACTCTCAGTTGCAGAAGAACAGGGTTCCCTCCCCTTAGTCTCTGGATTTCACTGACCATTTTTGCTGACAGTGTTTGAGTGATCTCATTATGTTGGTGTCCCTCTTCCAAGACCTGTCCACCTAGGATTACTCATTTTAGGAAAGGCTTTAGACTCATCTGGATGTTGAGGATGGCCCACCACTTGCTCACTTCAACAGCAGCAGTGTGTGGTAGACTGAGGTGATGGTAGAAAAACTAGTTCAACCTGAGTCTCCTTTAGTCCCTGAAGTGTCAAACATTTTTACAATTTCGAGCTCTCTATTTTGCAAGTCAAACTGTTTGAACCAAGGCTTTCCCAGACCCACACTGCAAAACTCATGAAGCCTGGGATCCATGGGAGAGTTTCTCTTTGCTCAGCAATCTGGTTCTACAGAAATGGGACAGGAGAAGTGAGAAAAATATGCTAAGGAGAAGTGAGAAAATATCATTTCCTTCTAATTCCACCCATTCTCTAGCTGTTTTATACTAGCACCTTGCACATTGTTTCTGCCTTTGTAAAATGAAGTTCATTGAAGGATTTCTACAGGTTTTTCTGGCTCTGAAACTTTTTTACACTATTTAACAGAGAAATTGTTCATTAAGGACTGGGTTGTGAGGCGTGGGGTGGTATGAGACTGTGAGTGGGGTGTCCAGCACCATTTTCATGTTCACATGCAACCTACTATGTCTGAAGTTCCTTTAAACAGTTCTTGGGCCTCTTCAAAAGCAGAAATAAACAGGATCCTCAGGATGAGTCCCTCTCTGGGTTTCCATTACTCCTGTAACATCAATAAGGGATGCCAGATCAAGGAAAGACTACATCCACAGTATAATGGAATAAGTTGGGACTTTACTAAGCATAGAACTATTATAGATAGTGATCTGAGGGTAACTCCATGACTGAGCATTCTCCATGAACAGAATGGTCCTTCCTAAAGATCTCTTATACTTACTTCTGTAACATGTTATTCCTGTAGGAAGAAAACACAAACAAACCTGAGAAAAAAACACTTCCTCAAACATCCCAATCTCTTTCTGACTTCAAAGTGCCCTCCTTCCAAGTATAGCTTGGGGGACCAAGATTCCCAACCACGGCTGGTTGTAAATTTGTGGGACCCAATGCAAAATGAAAATTTGGAGTCCATTGTTCAAAAAGCATGGAAAATTGCAAGTGAGTAAAATAATACAAAGTCTGCTTTACAAAATATTATATTATTTATAAACACAATAGGGTTTGCAATGATACACAAGTAGCAATACCAACTTACAAAGTACAAAAAACACTTTGTGCCATAAGCTTATATAAACAATAACTGATGTTATTTTGTAAATATTATATCTTGACCATAAGATATTTCTGGATTGTTCTGCAATTTGATTTGTAGGGCAGCATTTTAATGTTTCTGCTAGCATTTTCTGTAATTTGTAGAAACTGAAAGAAACTTGATGATTTGTGTATAGTAAATAATGCTTGTCTATGCATCCCATCACTGTTCCTTCAGTTCCAGTGAAATTAATATTGAGGTTATCTTCTGTGTTAATAATTGGTTCATTCAAAATATCACATGAAAACATTATTCTTTATCAAGTAGCTATCATTACATTTAATTTCTGTTTCTAAGTCCATAGATATTCCTTGTGAAATGCAGCCTCAATTTTCAAAATTAGAGTTTCTAAATTTTTCCAAGGATTCTAACAATTCTCCTAAATGTTTTATTGCAATGTACATTTTTATGTTTTCATTTTGTACAAATTTACTAAAAATGTATATTACCACACACTTTGAGGACCTGCAGAGCACCAGAAAGCCTATAGTGGGCCCCTGCACTTGGAATGGGTGGAACAACTGTGCCCTTGAATATGAACTTCCATGTGCTCCTGTCCTAGAGCCCCATGAATCTCCTCTGCTCATGCACATGCTCCATCCTCTTAACAGACTTCAATTACAAAACATACTTTCAAAGACAAAATTATTAAGAACTGCAAGACAGCAATAACCAAACATTAAATCAAGCATCTGCCCCTTTCTGAGTGGCAGGCCCTGTGAAACCTTACAGGTCACATGCCCAGAAAGCTGATCCTGCTTCCAGCATCACTGGAATTGTCTAAATGTCTTTGCCTTAATCTCAGGGTCCTACTGCTTCCTAGTTGATCCCTTATGTTAACATAAAAGACAGCAAGGTGGAAATTCGATTCACATTGTAATTGATCCAAATGCAGGTTTAAACTTTGTGGCTGGTTATGAGAAGTCTTGGCATGTGACGATGGCAGATGAAAGTAGCTTTGGGGGTAGTGCTGGAAGATATTTCCTCCCTTTCCCAGACCCTAAATGAGGTCAGAAAATCATGAGTAACAGATTCATTCACAAATGCAAGGAAGAGCAGTGGATTTTCATATAACAAAATGAAAAGTTTCAGCAGTTTTCCCTTAAAGGATGCTATTTAGAATTAAAAGAATATTTTCATCAGTGATGTATGTGAACATATTTTAAAATTATCTACATTTTTGAGTCTTCTACACTAGCTATCTCAAAGCACAAGCTCTGTTGTCAGATTTCTGAGGGGGAATCCCACCCCGACTTTACAAGTTAGGAATTCAGGGAAATCACTTCTGCTCTTTTCTAGTTTGTGTGCAAAGTAAACAAATATTGTCAGTACTAGAGTCATATATGTAACAACCTAGATAGAGTGCCTAATACTCCAAGACAGGTAGGAGTTTTATATATGTTATGGGTTTCAGGAGTGAAAAATCTGAATACTAACATTGAGAACAAATATATACATGTACATAGAGACATAGAGAAAGAGAGAAAAAGTGCACATTTTCTCCTGGAAATTGAACTATCTTCTATTTGCTAGAATGCATTGAGACATCCCTTTTGAATTTTGTTAAACAATCAAGTCTTTTTCATCACAGTAATTTATAGATGTCATTTATAAGCTAAGAGGATGTGTTTTAAC